AAAAGAAATTTGGACTACTAAAAAGGGATTGACACCTCATCCCTAAGGGCTCCCCAGAACCGATTAGATAGTTTTATAAGAGCTAGAATGTAAGTTGAGCTTTGACCACACTCTAATGTAAAGAAATTGAGGTTCCTGAGACCTCTCCTTTGTGGCACCCTCTTTCTACCGGGTGAGCTACGCCACCCATAAATTTTGATAGGGGGGATGAAAGTGGGAGCGGGAGAGACGTAATTTGGAGGGACAATCGACTCCCCATTTAGCCGAAACAGAAGAAAGTGAAGGCAAAAAGAAAAGTCGACAACTTAGAAGCTGTTCTCTTCGCCTGAACTGAATGTTTCTGATCTGAATTTTTTAAGTTCTGATCTGATCTGATCTGAATTTTTCTGATCTGATCTGATCTGAATCTTTCTGATCTGATCTGATCTGATCTGAATCTTTCTGATCTGATCTGAATGTTTCTGATCTGATCTGAATCCTTCTGATCTGATCTGAATCTTTCTGATCTGATCTGATTTGAATATTTCTATGATTATAATTATAATTATAATTATAATTATAATTATAATTATAATTATTATAATTGCAATTACAAATATAATTTAAATAAAATTATAATCATAATCGTAACTATAATAATAATAATAATAATAATAATAATAATAATAATAATAATAATTATAATAATAATAATAATAATAATAATAATAATAATAATAATAATAATAATAATAATAATAATAATAATAATAATAATAATAATAATAATAATAATAATAATAATAATAATAATAATAATAATAATAATAATAATAATAATAATAATAATAATAATAATAATAATAATAATTAAAATTGAATTTAAAATGAAAAAAATTATACCTATTACACTAATTACAAATATAGATATAATTATAATTGTAATTATTTTTTTAATTATAATTACTTATGTAATTATAATTGTAATTATAATTACAATATTTATCTCTATAATTGTAACTATAGTTATCAATATTATTATAATTACTCCGTAAAATAATTACAATAGTAATAATAATAATAATATTAATAATTATAAAAAAATTATAATCATAAATTATAATTATAATATAATTATAAGTATAATTATAATTATTATAATTATAATTAATAATAATTATAATTATATTAACATTACTTATAATATTATAATATAATAATAGTAATATTAATGCAATTAATATTATTATAACGATATTATTATATTAATATTGTTATTACAATAATATAATAATAATATGATTATTATTATTATTATAATTAGTATTATATTATTATAATATTATATTATAATTATAATTATAATCATAATTATAATTATGATTGTAACTATAATTATAATTATTTTAATTATAACTAATTACAATTATAATTATAACAATATAATTATAATAATTACAATTGATTATACTTATAATTATAAGAATTTTAATTGTAATTATAATTACAATTACATATAATTATAATATAATATTATAATAATATTAATCATATTATTATTATTATTATATTGTAATAATAATAATAATAGTTTTCTTAATAATTGCATTTATATTACTATTATTATATTAAAATATTATAACTATTATTAATATCTTATTTTTTTATCATATTATTATTAATATTATTAATAATAATTATATAATAATAATCATAATAGTAATAACAATATTAATAATAATAATAATTAATATAATAATAAAAGTGATAAATCATGTTTGAACTTTTCTGATCTGATCTGATCTGAATGTTTCTGATCTGATCTGAATGTTTCTGATCTGATCTGAATCTTTCTGATCTGATCTGATCTGATCTGATCTGATCTGAATCTTTCTGATCTGATCTGATCTGATCTGAATTTTTCTGATCTGATCTGATCTGAATTTTTCTGATCTGATCTGATCTGATCTGAATAAAATAAGAATAAGTAATAAGTAATAAGTAATAAGAATAAGACGAACAAAACAGCAGCTTAACAATGTCTAGGTTTGGGCCCCACGTCGTCAATAGTGCACAAGAGGCTTTTTGTGCAGGTGACATCATGTTGATGTCATCATGTACTGACAAGCTAATATGTTTTTGAAATCCAACAAGTAAAATAATACTCCCTCTGTCCTTCTATTATTGGGATGGAAGGAAGTGGTGTGGTTTTTATGACAAGTAAACTTATATATGTGGTTGAGAATGAGTTAATAAAGTAGGAATAAAGTAAGCATGAATTAGAGTTACACAAATATTACCAAATATGATATGAGACAAAATAAAGGGACATCCAAAAATGAAAAAATGAGACAATTATAGGGGACAGAGGGATGAGTATATATTTTTCCCTTTATTTTTTAACTTTTTGACCAAAAATGGTTAAAAGGGAAAATTTAACCAAATTTCAATTTTTTAAAATTGAAATGTGCATTTTTTAATTTTGTAATTATTAAAAAAATTCCTTTGTCCCAATTTATAAGGTTCACTTTTCCTTTTGAATTGTCCCAAAAATATGAACGTTTTCCTAAATTGAACTCTATTGACTTTTGGGAAAATGAAAACTAATAATCTAACCTTTTAGCGGTCTTCTTTCAATAATCCCACCTTTTGATTATTCATGAATAATTCAACCTTTGCACCTCATATTCATTCATTGGTCCCCGGTCGGTTAATGAACTATTATTCCAAGTTATTTTCTTATTTTTGCAAAATATTATCTTTGTGAAAGATGAGATTTATGATATAATGATTTGCAAAGATAAGAAAATAGCTTGGAATAGCAGGTCATCAACCGGTCAGGGACCAGTGAATGAAGATGAGGTGCAAAGGTTGGATTATTCATGAATAACCAAAAGGTTGGATTATTGTAAGAAAACCGCTAAAAGGTTGGATTATTAGTTTCCATTTTCCCTTGACTTTTTTACTTTTTCACTTTATCATTCTATCTATCATTTCATCATACTTTTTGTGAATCCTTTTTTCTTTTTCTTACTTTTTGAAAGTTAGAATTGTAAAACAACAATTGCATCATCCTTTATTTTCTTAAAACTCGCACCAAACCTACACATATCTTATATTTTGGGACGAATGTAGTATTATTTGTGATAAAGTTTAGTTAATGTCTTACTAATTCCGTATGTAAAAAATATAGAGTAAATTTTACCAACAAATTTTGGAGTGCAGATTTATACATGCAATTAGGAACAAATATGTGTCAAAATGAATACAGTACAAATTTGGTGGAGAGATATTTTCAAATGCCTTTTTTTGCGAGGAGAAATTTTCAAATTTCGTTGATGTGGTTGAAATGAAAGATGGATCCCATAAGATATTGGAAAAATTGACAGTAATAATCTCAACTATTGGCCGCCCGTTTATAATAATCTCAACTATTGATTATTATAGAATAATCTCAACTTTAGGGACCTTCCGCCAATAATGGTCCGTATGAAAAAATTCTTGTAGTTTCTAAAGTGGATAAGATGAGATATAACAAGTAATCCCTATAAATAATCTCAACTTTTAATTTGTACGCTTAATTTCTATTTAAAATTCACTTTTTATAGAGGTAATATATGGTCATGGACCATTATTGGCGGATAGTCTATATAGTTGGGATTATACAAAAATAATCAATAGTTGAGATTATTTTCAGCGGATCGGCAATAGTTGAGATTATTATTTGAGAAAATGGAAACTAATAATCCAACATTTCAGCGGTTTTCTTATAATAGTCCCACCTTTTTGTTATTCATGAATAATCCAACCTTTGCAGCTCATTTTCATTCACTGGTCCCTGACCGGTTGATAACCTGTTATTCCAAGTTATTTTGTTATCTTTGCAAACCATTATATCATAAATCTCACCTTTCACAAAGATAATGTTTTGCAAAGATAAGAAACTAACTTGGAATAGCAGGTCACTAACCGGTCAGGGAACAACGAATGAAGATGAGGTGCAAAGGTTGTATTATTCTTGAAAAATGAAAAGGTGGGACTATTATAAAAAGAAGGGAAAACTGTCAAATATGTCCTCGAACTTTCATAAAAATGTCAATTTAGTCCTTCTATAAGAGGTTTTGTCCGGCCGTCGTGATTTGGAGTAGTTCCCGGTGGAATTTTTTGATGAAATTTTTTGAGCATCTTATTCACCAAGTCTAGTTTACGCATACCAAATTTCAGCTAAAATTTCAATCGAGAACACATTCAAATTAATTCTTAAAGATAACTGCGTATTTTTGCGTTCTTGATTTAATTTGAATGCGCTCCCGATTAAATTTTTAGCTGAAATTTGGTATGCGTAAACTAGACTTGATGAATAAGATGCTAAAAAAATTTCAACCAAAAATTCCACCGGAAACCGCCCCAAATCGCGACGACCGGACAGAGTCTCCTATAGAAGGACTTAATTGACTTTTTTATGAAAGTTCTAGGACCTATTTGACAATTTTCCTTAAAAAGAATGATGAAAGGGTTAATTATTAGTTTTCCCTTATTATTTGACAATTTTCCCTTAGTTTTCATTTTCCCTTATTATTTTCAATTTTTCCTAACATATTTTCCCAAAGGAGAGAAAACTTCATGTCAGGCCGGCCTGACGGGCTGCCCCGTCCGGCCGAGCCCGTTTGGGCACCTTCCCGGTGGAATTTTTTGATGAAATTTTTTGAGCATGTTCCTCATCAAGTCTAGTTTGTCCATACCAAATTTCAGCTTAAAATTCAATCGGGAAGGTCGTCAAATGATTTTTGCAAGTTAACTGGTCCGGAATATGTATTTTCCGGACCAGTTAACTTGCAAAAATCATTTGACGACCTTCCCGATCGAATTTTGAGCTGAAATTTGGTATGGACAAACTAGACTTGACGAGGAACATGCTCAAAAAATTTCATCAAAAAATTCCACCGGGAAGGTGCCCAAACGGGCTCGGCCGGACGGGGCAGCCCGTCAGGCCGGCCTGACATGAAGAGCACTCTCCCAAAGGATATTGTGACATTATCTTTTTGCCGTTAAAACTTGTCTTGACAGCGAACGTGGAAGAATTCGAATTTCGAACTTCAAAAAAGGGAATCAATCCCCAACGTATTGCTGATTTAGCATATTCCTACTTTCCGTTGGTTCCATTTCACTCTGTGTTCTAGTGGAGTAGCGTAAAAGAAATGGGCAAAGAGGAAATGGAAAATGAGACTAATCCGATGGTCGAGATCAAAGGGGTTCCCAATCATGGCGGAAAATACACTCAGTATAACGTCCTTGGAAATCTCTTCGAAGTCCCCTCCAAGTACATGCCTCCTATTCAACCCGTCGGCCGTGGAGCTTATGGCTTGGTTTGGTAGGATCTCTCGTTTCGGAGAGAGCTGTTTATCTTTGGTTTTTATGCCGTTATTTTATTGATGGAGCGGATTGTGGAAAAGCTCACACTTTTATCGCTTTTCCCTCAGCTAAAATTTCACCATTTAACATTGTTGAATCGGATTTTTTTTCGTTTACCTGCTATTGTGGCTTTAATTTCGTGTTACTTTACTCTTACGTGTTATTGCAGTTGTGCTACGAATTCTGAAACAAAGGAGAAGGTTGCAATTAAGAAAATTGGGAATGCATTTGATAATAGTATTGATGCCAAAAGGACTCTCCGGGAGATCAAACTTCTTTCCCACATGGATCATGAGAATGTAATATGGTTATCTACATTCTAAAATCACATTTTCATCTTCTTTGTTAAGGGGTCGTAATTGTGCTACAGTAATTAATGTCTCTTGATTTTATCTCAATGGTAGGCATTTAGTTGATTAAATTTTAATCATTAGCATGTCCATCCAACAGGTAATCAAAATCAAAGATATAATACGGCCACCGGATAGAGAGAACTTCAATGACGTTTATATTGTCTATGAGTTGATGGATACCGATTTGCACCAAATAATATGCTCTTCCCAGCCACTCACAGAAGATCATTGTCAAGTATGTTTACCGTGTATATTGTTAGCGTGTTAACGTTGGCATACTATGTTCACTAATGTCTGGTTACTATAGTAACTCATTTTGTATGTCATATTGATGAATAGGCTGAACATTTCCCTGTAGGTTTCTATTTATTTTGAGGCAGGCACTTCCCACATTAATGTTACTTGAATGAGTTTTAATTCCACATAACAGGAAATACTAGTTATACTTATATGTTTGATGTGATCAATTGTTGCTTCTGTTTTTTATGAGATGGATGGATTTAGTGAGGCATCTTTGTCCATTGTGTTTAAATCAGAATTCTAGTCCATTACTTTTTATAGTCAAAGATGCATAAGAATATAATAAGATAGAAATAGCTCTGTATTTCTGTGTTCATTTGCATGATAGGAAAAGACCATTCTTTAGGGCGGGCTTAGAACCTGGGGGGGAGGGTGGATAATTGAGAGGAAAGTTAGAAGGATAGAAAATTTGGGGAAAAGCAAAATGTATGTCATACTCAGTAATTTTATAATTTTATTTTAATTTATCGTTCAAACTTTTATATTTATTTACTTATTTCTGTTTTATAAAATAAAGAGTAAGAAATATAATTATATGTAAACGAATATAAAAAGAATTCAACATATTCTCTTTTGCAAGGTAAAACCCAACACAAGAGAATAACTTTGTTTGCCATCCTTCCATTTACTACCTTTATCTAGATCCAAACAAACTGTTAGTTTTTCAGATTGTGAGACACTTCAAGTCTTCAATCAATAAAGAGTTCAATTTGTCAATCAAATTTTGCCATTTCCGCTTACTTTCAAGCCCCATACGGCCATACCTTTTTGCTTTCACCCTTGATATCTCTAACCACATACCTTCATTCCTTGAGAATTTTAAACTTGAAATAGGGTTTTATGACCTGACTTTAATTGCTAAATATTACCTATCTTCCTCTGCCAAAACATGGACTTCTTGCAAAACCATTTAGCGGTGGTATTCTTATTGTGCTTTGCAGTATTTCCTTTATCAGTTATTGAGGGGACTAAAGTACATTCACTCCGCTAATGTTCTCCACCGGGATCTCAAGCCCAGCAACTTGCTACTTGATGCAAATTGTGATTTAAAAATATGTGATTTCGGGCTTGCACGAACTACATCAGAGGCAGATTACATGACAGAGTATGTTGTCACAAGGTGGTATAGGGCCCCTGAATTGTTACTCAGCTGCTCAGAATATACTGCAGCAATTGATATATGGTCAGTTGGCTGCATTTTAATGGAAATCATTAAAAGAGAGCCTCTCTTTCCAGGGAGAGATTACGTTCAGCAATTGACTCTTATTACTGAGGTATGCATGTACTGAGTATATAAGGGTGCCCCCTAATATCCTATATAACACGTTCACAATCTTTGAATCTAAGTGCCCGTTTGGTAGTCAATGTTTTTGGCTTATCTGTCTAGTCACACATTTCAATATAAACTAACTTATTTCAAAGAGCTGGCTGGGTGAATCTGATGATTGTAAACAGGCAGGACAAGAGTTGCTTTTTTTGGCTGAAATGGCTGAAGCTAATGAAATAATAATTCAACCTTCACTTCGAGATATTGTTTTATTTCCATTTGAAATGGGTATTGTAGATGGTACAACAGATTCAGCCAATTCATCTACTTTAGCCATTTTAGGCCTACCAAACATGCTCTAAATTTAACATGGATTATATTGTCAAAATAAGCATGGATTGGGTTAAACCTTCTTGTTTCTGGTCTTTTCTTTCCTGTGAAATAGCTATTAGGAACCCCAGAAGACTCTGATCTCGGGTTCCTCAGGAGTGATAGTGCTCAGAAATATGTAAAGCAGCTTCCTCATGTTCCCAAACAGCCCTTTTCCCAGATGTTCCCGGATATGCCTCCCTTAGCCATTGATCTTGCAGAGAAGATGCTGTTGTTTGATCCAACAAAACGCATAACTGGTATGGCTTACGATACCCTCTTATATATCTTATGAAATGCTTTACCCATTCAAGAACGCTATGTTTTTGGATCTCAAAAAACCATAGGGAAATAGCAAAAAGAAAGTGAAGGAACTTTTTAATGTTCGGGACTTTTTTAATGTTTGGTTCTACCTTTGGAAAATATGCATACGAATCAAATTCGATTAAAAGGAGTTATTTTTTGGATATTTTTAGATGTCTTGGTCTTCAAATAGTCAATTTTTTAGATAAAATAACTTTTAACAAATATCTAAATTGATTTCTTGAGTTTGAGCAAGTGAATGAGCAAATTTGTATTTTCGCCCCACATTCTTTCTTTCCAAATTTACATTTCCCTCCTTTTCTCTTTCCCTATTTATTTTCTGAATTCCAAACAGATCCATAGCGATGTTCTAATTACTCATTCACTTCTTGTTGTCTTACAAAGTTGAGGATGCCCTAAACCATCCATTTCTATCAAGTCTTCATGAAATCAATGAGGAGCCCACTTGCCCTTCTCCTTTTGTCTTTGATTTTGAACAAGCATCTCTAGACGAAGATGACATAAAAGAACTCATATGGAGAGAGGCTCTAAAGCACAATCCAATTGACAATGAGTTGAGCACTTGAGATCCACCCTGTTTGGCTTGTGTATGGAAGGTGAGCCGGTTTGCAATGTTGAGTTGAGACTAATGGGTAATCATTTTGGATAGGGCCTCGTTAAGCTATGTGTAAACTGGGGAGTTAAGGATTCATGTTTGTAGCCAAGAACCATGACCCTTGATAGTTTTCAAGATTGGTCATGCTGATTATGCTCTGTACATCATGAAGCTATTTGTAAACCAAAATTACAGAAAAAAAGAAGAAAAAAAGAGGAAACAATTCATCTCTACTGTAACGTGATATATGTATATTATACATATAATGCCGTTGCTCACTGTGTACCTTTTCCACATTGACTCGCTTGTGTCTTGAAGTGGCAGTTTGTCATGATATTATAGCGAAAGTGTGAAACAAATGACTGACATTGTTATAATTACAGTGAGTTGCTAACTTAATCAAGAATGTTAGCCATATGTGTTCTAGAATTACTGCCCAATTGAGATCAGGGGCGGATCCAGGAATCTTAGATGCCCTGGGCTGAATAGAAATTATACTAGACTTAAATATTAAAGGGGTGGGCTAAATGCGAAAAATGAAAAAATTTACACTAAAAAAATTGAAAAATTTCTAAGTTGCCCTGGGCTTCAGCCTACCATAGCCTGTATATAGATCCTCCCCTGATTGAGATGAACGATGACAATGACACGTTCGGTTTACAAAGAGCGCTTCAGTCAAGTGAAAACTATATATAAATGGTTCAACAATCTGACCTAAGCAAATCTAGAAATTTTCTTTGTGAAAATTGAAGCGGGTTGATGTATTCAAGCTGAATTCATGGCACAACCTCTGTAGTGATTTGGTAAGTGTAGGACTCCCGCAATAGAATACACCTGCATCCATTCGCCATAAAATTAGTAGTAGAAATTATAAGGAAACAGAAAGAAGAAAAACAATATAAGGAAACAGTCAAACGATGAGAATGGTTTTTCCCGTGAAAAATGAGAATGATGCAAAGCGGTGCACATGCCGATGCAAATTTATGGCACCACATTTTCAGATTCATGGGCTGAGCTCATGAATCATGACAATCCACATTTATGTGTTGGTAATGCACAATTCTCAAATCTAATGCACCCAATTCATTCTCATTTATCTCGTTAGATAGCATGCTCATTTGGTCCAAATTGTATATGTTTATACACACACATACAGGTTTTGGTTCAAATAAGAACACGATCTTATGAGAGAAATGAGAACGAATCTAGACCATTAGATTTGCTTCAAGTGAAATTCAGTGTGCATGAGATGAAACTGTAATGTGCATTATGTGAAATTGAAATGTGCATCACAAAGGGTACGATAGAGTGGCATTATGTACAGTTCAATTGTGCATTACGTGAAATTGAAATGTGCACTAGGTGAAGCTGAAATGTGCAGAATAAAAAGTACGGTGTGATGTTATTTTTGTACTTTTTTTCGCACATATCAGTTTCATCTAATGCACACTTGAGTTTAAATTTTTATTTTGCACATTTCAATATCATTTAATGCACATTTCAATTTCACCAAATGCACAATTTGGTTCCACATAAAACAATCCAACGGTCCAGATTCGTTCTCATTTTTCTCTTAAGATCTGTTCTTACCGAAACCGCTCCCCACACATACATATAACATATACTTGATTATGAGAAACACATGAATATATTTTCTTGTTCCAGTACCAACTCTAGAAGAGGGATATGCAGCTACCATGCGAGAGAACACCTTTTTCCAGTTTGGTCTAGCAAAATGTGTTCTTATCTGTTGAAAAGGTGTGTGTTAATACTATATAATAACATGACCTTAAAAGGTGGGAGGGGGTTTGATAAATACAAATGTATAAACAAACCTATAAGGTCTCGGCTAGTTCCATTATCAGTATAAAACTCTAGTCTTAATAGCTAGAATTTTAAAACAAAAAAAACTAGAATTTAATTACTCAGTCTTAAGTAGGAGTAGTTTAATTACCCGGCTCTGTGAGACAACATCAACTCCATTTTTTGCATGTTGTAAAGACTGCACCATGGTAATAAGTGCGGAACGAGCATCTCCTTCTTCATACATACTTGTTAAATAGTTGTGCATTTCTATCACGTGCTGCCAAGATTTTTTGGAACATATCATCATCAGATTATAAGTGAAATTAAACAAAATGCATATATTTCTCAACTGTTAAAGTATTTAGGATTAGGGCCCACATTTTGGTCATACTCAGCTATGTCATCCATGACCCCCTTGAACCATTCGAATGATCCTTGTTCGCGTGTCACCCAGTAGAAATAAGCTCTTTGAGGCCCCGTCCTGTTAGGCTGTGTGTGTGACAGTGGGATCTCAAGATTTTGCTGCTCCTACAAATAGTTTGAGCTGATGTCCATCCTTTGTTAAGACATAAAAAAATACAAAACTGATATACAGTATAACATTTTGGATTACTCTATAATGAGGTCACAAGTGTTAATATCCTTAACAAGTCTAAATTTTAAAATATAACTTACCTATTAAATGTCCCATATCAGATGTTTACAATATTTTTGCCTGATATGTAAGTATCAGGTAAACCTAACTGCTTGAAGCTCTTTTTGAGAGTGTTTAAAAAAAGCTCTTTTTGAGTGAGTTTGTCCTGATATAATATGGTATCAAAGTATGGTGCTATAATGGTTTGTTCGCTTCTTTAACTAGCCCTACTGGGTTTGGTTTGTGATGCCTCCATTCACCTCTCAAACTGTTTAGCCCAAGCATCACCTCTTGAGGATCCAAATGTTAGGTTTCATCACTTTCATGTACACTTACCATGAGAGATTCATTGTGTAAAATATCTTTGATTATGCTGATGAATGGGGTTGCTCCAATGCCTAGGCCAATGAGTAAAAGGATGTCATATTTCTTGTAGCTCTGAGCCGGTGCACCATATGGCCCTTTTATTGAAATCTGTGGAAATCTGAGCAACCAAAACCATTATGTTTAGTTGAGGTTATGAAAAATGATGTGAATCACTAGCAATTGGGACTTGATTTCTTACAATGTTTGTGACTGCCCAACATCTGAATTCCTTTTTGTTTCCATTCTTGTGAGATTTCCCTCTCTTGGTTGTGCAGATTGTGGTTCACAAGCCTGTGTTTGGAAGCGTTAGAAAAGAGATGCCTAAGATTTAAATTCCTTTAAGTAAATTTATACTCCGTATCATTTGGCTGAAACGGAAAAATGCTTGAATTTACTAAAACAAGAAATAATTATTTTCAAAAAAATTAAAGAAATATTTAGAAGAAAATATGGGGCAGTGGCATTCCATTAGATGGTTTTAGTAAAAAAAACGTTTTTAAAATTCTTAAATAAACCCTCATACTATTTAAAGAATGTGCTCTCGTACCTTAAAAACACTGTCCAACTATTTTATTTTTTCCTATTCTATTTTTATTTTTATTTTTCAGTTTTCCTTGACCACCTATCTGAAGAGGCCAAGTCGATGCAGCAATCACCGGATTCTTCCCTCACTCTGCTTACCTGATTCATCCCCAACATGAATTCCCTCTTTGTTTCAGTGACAAAGAAGAAATGAAGTTATTTTTGCAGATTGAAACCGGTTAGACAGATTGATTGAGTTTTTTTAAAAAAGTAAGACATTTAATTGTCATTTTTATATAGTAAGAGAACTTATTTGACAGATTGTTTTCATATGCTATGTCGGCCAACACGATTAAATAAGCTATTAAATAAGCTAATGTTTGGTAGAAAAACTGATAAGCAAAATACCAAACATGCACTAGATTTGTGTTCCATGTCTAAAACATATGTATAACCTTTGCAAATTTGCTTTTAAGCTCCGTAGTCCAATCTCCAAGTGTACGTATATGGACGCTTAGGTAGTTGTCATCTGGTGCAGAAGTGATTGAGAATGGATGCCTGGAATAGAATGGGGGGGGGGGTCTTAGCATACAGAATGCAAGCAATACAAGTGTTCAAGTGCTCAAAAACATTATTCTTATCCACTTACCATTCAAAGCTTGATATATCATAACATTTTACAAAAATGTACATTCCGCTTTTATACTTGAATGCTGGAGGCTTACTCATGTATAGTGCTAATACATTTCCTGTATATATCACTGCCTGTAAATTATTCCGGAAAAAATTTAACTAAATGTGCAGAAAAAGAAGTTTAGATTAAATTTCTCTTGACAAAAAACTGAAAAGCTTCAAGTTGTACAACCTTTATGATGTCCACATCATATTTATTTTCATACATGACAAAAATTCTTTCAGCCGCATATGCTAACGCAGGTACTATAATATACATCCATGTCTGCAATGAATTACTCATTAGTCATTATATGATACAAAGACAAAGAATTAAGTATAAAAAACTATCTTAATGTGAGATGATTTAGCAAAACAAGCATAACCAAGGAGAATATGGGTGTACCGTCTTTTTATACCATTCTTGTGTGAGGAATATAAAGTAGCCGTGGAAGATAAGGAGAATGTAGACTACTATCAACAGATGGTGTGTATACCAAAAAGAATTGAAACCAGCTAAATGATGGAGGGGTGGGGGCAGCTTGATGACATTCCTTCTGAAAGAATGTGTCGCCAATGTGAAGATAAAAGCCATCAAAATAGTCATAATAATGCCTGTTAAACTCGGTATTGATGCAACCAGGTTAGGGTAAGTAGGTTGCCGATATCCAAAAGGATTTCCGAGAATTGCCATGAATTTACTCTGAGGGCATGACACCATTCTAAAGAAATTGCAACTAATATGCATTGATGCATGAACAAAAGTTGCAATCACTATTGCAAGGGCGATGATCTTGTGGAAGATGATGTTGTCATCAAACGGGATTATTGCGCCGATGAACGATTCTCTAAGGGAGGTCAGTGTTCTTCTGCACACTGGGAGGAGAATGAGAGCCATGTTGAACTTAAGTGTCTCCCCAGCACCTTTGGCAATGCAAACACAATAGCCCATGATTTGGAACTCCGCTCGGTGCTTGAATTGGTTGAACTTCCAAACGAAGAGTGTCATATTGATGCACACCCACAATGTGAGTACCCATATTTGTTTCCACTTTTCGTGTATCTTTTCTCTTGTTGTGGACATGAATTTGCTCACCGGATGACTATATTGTTTCGGGATCATGGTTCTTGCCAATGTATGTGTTTTCACGTAGTTCTCTCTCCCATCTTTTGACCCCACAATTTCTCTTAGTAGAGTTTCAAGTTTCCACATCTGTTTCATTTAAAAAAATCATTAGCTCCAAAGTGGGGATGATTAAGACTAAAATTTCAACTTTAGAATAAAATATATGAGTAGTACCCTAAGACTATATTTTAGTTTATATTTTTATATTTATCTATGTGATTTGATGGAGGATTATCCATAGATTTTATTAGGAAGTGAAAATTTGTACCTCTAAGTATCCATTATGATCAGGATCTAGCTCTTCCATTATCAAAGTAGCATAGGACTCCGCATTTTGTTTAAAAGTTGACAATTTGTTGGCAGAAGCACTCATCACTAGAACCTTATTCCACAACATGTTTAATAGGCTGTTGAAAGAAAACCATAACTCACAAGGGAACTTTTCTCACCTCTTTGACCTCTTCTTCAGATAGCTTTCCATCACCATTCTTGTCACACCTTTAAAATTCAAATAATTAAGTCTCTTAGTGATAAATATTATGTTTCAAAATTGTATCCTAATCCTCATAGATTTGACGGTTAAAGAGAGTATAGTATCTCATCCCGAATAACAAAATGCAACTAATTGCTTACATGTCAAAGAAAATGTGGAGGCGTGTATCGAGATCTTGGTCCGTCATGTCTTCCCAAAATTCTCGCATTTCGTCGATAGTAATCCCATTCTCTACTTCAATCTTCCTCCGCCTTGCTAACGCATCGAATAATTCACCTGCAAATTCCTTGCTGTCTCCCATTCCTTCAATCCAAATTGTAAATATAAACTTTTAGAAAACTAACATGTATGGCATTGGACTACATATTTTATGAAAGTTAATATTGAATTCATCATTCATTTATTTAAAAAAGCTAAAATAGAATGAAAAAAATATACCAATGCATGTCCCAAATTTGTCCCTGTAAAGCCTCCCAGATTCTGCATTTTGATGGAAATGTTTCTCAATAGTTTTCCAGGCATCTGCTTCCTTCCCTGTGATTGATCTATCAAGAAACCTTAGACCATTGAACCCTCTGGATGCACCTGATTGAATGGGGACATCATTCATATTATCCGTCTCAACACTTCCAAGGATCCATTTTACAGATTCCCCTCTCTTGAATCGTGCATTGCCAGCCGCCATTGATGCAAGAAGTTGGCAGATTGAGGATGAAGATTCATGCCACACTAGGGATTATTTCTTGATCTAAGGCATATGTTTTGGTTGTGAAATGTCAGAGCCGTTTTTGTTATTTCTTTTGTTAAATAATCCCAATATCTCCTTCCTCACAACACCCGGGAACAAACACTGATTTCATAAATGAAAATACAATCACATACTAATTTTTTGTTTCCTGTAATATGTGAATATAGAAATTTCACTTAAAAATGTAACCTATCAAATACCACTTAACTATTATTGGTATATTATACACAAAGACTAGACATGTCGGATTCTAGGCATGTATGTGATTAGAGTGGCACGGCCGATCACCCCTAATGATTATAAAAATTTAATTTTACATAAATTGGTTTCATGTATGCAAATGTTTACTTTTTTACTCTAATTGGTACATAAATTGGAGTACTTTTTTTCAATATTAATTTGATATCTTCATCCAAATTGTTCTTCAAGGTAATTTTAAAGAATAAGACAGCTAAATGTAGCTTAATTTAGTTTTACATCTTACGAAGTATTTATTAACATATTAATGATTAAATATTGCTTTTTAGAAACGGTAATAAAAAAGTCATTGATTTGATACTCAGAATGTCCAGTTTATAAAAACGGAATTATTGTAGTTTTGAACTTATTTTTAGTAGCTAAAAAATGTAATATATTTTGAAAGTATTAAAACCAATGTTCAATAAATCATCAAGCTCTAGTTAGAAGGCTCTTAGATATAGTTCAAGTTGACCGATATATAAAACTTATTTATAACTTAAAATTAAGACAGATGTAAAAAAACCTTAAAATTAATACATTATTAACGCACTCCTTAACTTTTTGAAGATCACTTTTTAAAAGGAAATTGTCTATTTATAAAATCAAATGTGATTACAACCATAGCATTGCAAAGACATGTCCAATAATCGGACTGTTTATCCCTTTCTCAACAATCAAACATAAGAACTGAGAAGAGAAGCAATAGATTGTATATGGAAAAACTCTCAAATAGGTCCTCGAACTTTCATAAAAAGGTCAAATAAGTCCTTATATAGGAGGCTCTGTCCGGCCGTCGCGATTTGGGGCGGTTTCCGGTGGAATTTTTTGATGAAAATTTTTGAGCATCTTATTCATCAAGTCTAGTTTACTCATACCAAATTTCAGCTAAAACTTCAATCAGAAACGCATCCAAATTAATTCTTGCGATGCTTCACCTTACAAGAAAACGGGAGTCACTTATCAAGCTTTTTAATGAGTGGATTCAAGAAATTGGTCTCAAAGTGTCATAAAAGTTGTCACTGACGAGACAATGCTGAAAATTATGGGTTAACGAAGAGGAAGATTGAACAAAGATATCCACATATCTTCACAATGGGATGTGCAAATCATTGTGTTGACCTTGTTCTAGAGGACTTTTCAAAGAAGATGCCGATTGTTAGAAGGACTGTGAAGACATCGCAAGAGATTACTACCTATATCTACGGCCACACCCCTGTTCTGGACTTGATGAAAGAATTTACTAAGAGGAGAGAGCTAGTTAAACCAGATGCATGTCACCCAATTTGTCACTAACTTCTTAACTCCGCAAGGTCTTCTCACTCAAAAACACGCATTAAGGCAAATGTTTGCTTCACCAAAATGGTTTGAAAGTGAGTTTGCAAAAACCACTGAAGGTCAAGCTTGTTCTGATTCAGTTTAGCTGTAACTCTTTTGGAGAAGTGTTGCCTATGTTATGAAGATTTCTTTGCCCGTAGTGAAGGTATTGAGAATTATGGATGAAGATTTGCCTCTAATAGGTTTTATATATGAAACTATGGAGAGAGTGAAATATGGAATTAAAAACACATTTGGAGGTAAAGAAGAGAAATAAATGCCTCTTTGGAAGATAATCGGGAAGTGTTGGAATGAGAACCTTCATTCTCCATTACATGCAACGGGGATACTATCTCAATCTTCGATTCATCTACCCTTAATTCACGGCGAATTCTCGGAGATGGACAAGTATGTGATGGTTTTATAAAGTGTGGAGAAGATGTTGCCCACTAACATTGGAGAGAGTGTGGAGTTCTCAATTGAGATATCATACTACACAAATGCAAGAGGAAGTTTCCAAACGTACCAATATGGAAATGAACAATAGGGACAAACAACCACTTGGTATGCAATCTGTATTCTTATTTTGATTACTTATAATTTGGTAATCTATAAATGTAGTAATCTGGTCTTAAGTATTTCAGTAGTAACTAAGAAATACAAATTGACTTTCTGCTTGCATGAGAACTTATTTTGTAGCTATATAGAAATTTGATTTCAACTTTTTGGAATGATCTAGACATGTCTAAACTGCAAATTTGCAATCCCTTTTCCTGGAAATTTTGAAATATGAAATAAGATAATGTGAATTGTGAGTTTTTAAATGATAATTGGGAAATCTGAGACCTACTCTAATGCCATACAAACTATGAGTATAAATGTAAGTCTTTTTAAAGGTTTGAGAACAGAAGGCAGTTGACTAGTAATGGTATAAATCTAAAATTTGAAAACCTGAAATTTGAGTATTATTTTCTAGAAAACTGATTAACATTTGGTTGACATTTGAAATTGTAGTTAATTAATGGCTTGCAAACGACTCCTCCACTTTGCAACATCTTGTTGTTCAGATCCTTAATTTAACTTGCAGTGCTTCTGGATGTGAACAAAACTCGAGTGCTTTTGAAAATGTAAGTTCATAAAATTGTCTTTCATGTGTAGTTTATCAGTGATTGATTTATTATTATCTACTCATTTTAGGTTCGTAGCAAGAAAAGCACAAGATTTCTTCCAAAAAATGAATGATTTGGTATACATTCGGTAGAATCAACATCATCAAGATCAAGCTATGAATGAATTGATGAGGCTGCCGAGCAAAAGAAATGGAAACTAGAGTGTAATGGAAGAAGTTGTTGGTGTTAATGAAGCAACTCACAAATAAGAGCAACAACAACTAGAGAATCAAAACTTCAGCTGCACGACGAAGAGGTGTCACGCCCCAGACCGCAATCCAAGCGCGTGTACAACCGCCGTATAATCGAGTGACGTCACCCGCGAGTCAACCTCACTTGATTACACAAGGCGTTCGAGAAAATAATCCATCTGTACTCAGTAGTAAACATACATAACAACATCACATTTAAACCAATGAATAGCGGAAATATTCAACGGTAAGTCATAAGCCACAACCGGCCAATAACATGGGCATGCAAGCCCCAAAAGAATAGTTTATGACAAATAAAAATATCCATGAGCAATGTTTAGTAATTTGAAATAAAATGAGGAAGCACGAACCACGTCTTCCTTGATTTGATGTCACCCGTAGAAAGGTGCAGGTAGCAAGCCCTAGCCTCAACCTGAAAATGGTGGGGCCCCCCGAAGGGGTCAGTACAAGTACCGAGCGAGTAGCAGGCTAAATATAGAATAACTATCGTTTCAAGTATAAGACCCAAACATAGGGTGATACATATACGTATAGTCCTTTTCCCAAGTTTGAAATACATATTAGTATACATACACTTGGAAATACCCGACCCGTAGGTCATTGTTTATTTGGGAAAATAATAGTAGTCAATATCCTTGACTTAAATCCCAACCCACCCATATACCTATGAGTGTATAGAACTCCTCCTTGTTCAAATAAATTATCATAAGGACACCGCCCGGTCCTAGATCATTAAATGTAATCTATGAGTTTTGAGGATACACGCCCGATCCTTGGGTACTCCACCCTATAACCGAGTTTTGAGGATAACCGCCCGATCCTTGGGTACTCCACCCTATATAACCGAGTTTTGAGGATAACCGCCCGATCCTTGGGTACTCCACCCTATATAACCGAGTTTTGAGGATAACCGCCCGATCCTTGGGTACTCCACCCGACCTATGACTTACCACATATCACGCTAGATAGGGTCTATATCATATTTAGTCATTCATAACTAATTCACTACATAAAGCTTATGTATCACAATCCATGCAAATCCATGCAACCATATAAATGTATAATTAACTAATATCAACCGATATTAATTAATCCATTAGCCATCGGTCAACGTTGTTGTTGACCGCTATCTCAAGTCTTACACTTATTAACTAATTCATCATATAATTAAGTTAATAATATCCATTTGTGCTTCTTTTACTCTTAAAGCAAATATGCATTTTATATAATTTCTCATATCATATTTCATGCATAAACAATTATTCTTTTCATACGCACTTAACTATGTTAGCTAATCACATGTTTAAATATCTTTTGAACATCATTATGAACACATATAACATTTATTTAGGTAATCTCATAATTGACCCAAAAGTTATAAGATATTAAGCCGTCCACTCACCTTGAACTAGCGTTAAGAAGTTCTACCCTTCTTGGTTGAACTCCGGTGAAACTCCGGCGACTTGGTCAACTCCGGCGACAACTCCGGTGATTTTTTCAAACTTTGTGAAATCACTTGAAATACCCTTTACAAGTGCCTAACAAGGTTTTATAATCATAAAACCCATATTAATACAAATAACCTCAAAAAGGTTATTTTCCGGTGAACCGGTCGTTTTGGCTTCTAAGTCCGTTCTTGGACATAGAACCACTTTCCAACCCATAAATCCATACTTATAACATGTGGAACCATATTAAGGGTCCTTCACATGATATATACCTCATATGGTAGAAGAAAAATAAAGGAGAAGTTATAATAAGGTCATTACCTTAATTTTCACACTTTTTCCTAGCTTTTCCTTCTTTAATCTTCCTTCTTGGAACCCTATGGCTTGAGCTCGAATTATGGCTATGGAAGATGAGTTTGCAGAGGTCTCCTTGTTCTCTTGGTGTGCCTTGGCCGAAAATATGGGGTGGGTGAGTGAGGAGATAGCCTCTTTGGCTTTTTCTCTCAAAATAATGTGGGAATGGGTCCTCCCCATTGTACTTTTGATGCCAAATGCATCTCCTCCTCACTTCCTCTTGTCAACCCAGCTCTCAATTGATGTGTTTAGCACATAAAAACGTGGGGTGGCCCCCAC